GTTATTTACATTGTATAGACATGAAACTAGATATAAAACTGTTATGTTTTTGGCTCATTTACAACTGTAAATCAAGTCTGCAAATTAAATACAAAGACAACTACAAAACTAGCAAAATTCAAATTAATATAATTATTCAGTGTGACAGATGATGTTTAGGTTTCACAGTAGGAAAAAAATAGCCTTAGGTCTGATTCCATTTTAAATCTGTTTCTGTATTTTAACTTCAGCCATGCTAAAAGCTGCAGGTGCTGATTCCCTTAAGTGGTGTTATGCAAGGTGGTATTCATGACTTCAAGGCTTTGTAAGTTCAGGATAATCAGACCTCATACCTAACCAAAACACTTGCCAGCAAGCATTCCTCAAAGACCAATTTTAATGCCATGTCAGCTGTTGTGTTCACTTGAAGATGATGTTAACATTATGACATAACTGAAAGCTTTATTAAATGTTTTTCTAAACCAGTTAATGTTGGAAGTGAGAATGGAAAAATGTCATTGCATACTTACAACCACATTTACTGCTAATGAACTTTTTCAGATTTTACCATAAGGATGGGACCTATGTAATGCTTGTGTCCTATATGGTATTGGCTGTTAGACTATTGGCTTTTTTAAAAAAATTATTTTATTGAGGTCATAATAGTTTATAACATTGTGAAATTTCAGTTGTACATTATTATTTGTCAGTCACCATATATATGTGCCCCTTTACCCCGTATGCCCACCCCCAACCCTCTTCCCCTCTGGTGACCTCTAATCTGTTCTCTTTGTCCATGTGTTTATTTATCTTCCACACATGAGTGAAATCATGCAGTCTTTGTCTTTGTTTGGCTTATTTCACTTAAACATCACACCCTCAAGGTCCATCCATGTTATTGCAAATGGGACAATTTTGTCTTTTTTTTATGATTGAGTAGTATTCCATTGTGTATATGTACCACATGTTCTTTATCCATTCATCAGTTGATGGGTTCTTAGGTTGCTTCCATGTCTTGGCTATTGCGAATAATTCTGCAATGAACATAGGGGTGCATTAAGTCACTTTGAATTGTTGATTTCAAGTTCTTTGGATAAATACCCGGTAGTGGGATAGCTGGGTCGTATGGTATTTCTATTTTTAATTTTTTGAGCAATCTCCATACTGTTTTCCATAGTGGCTGAACCAGTTTGCATTTCCACTGGCAGTGTATAAGGGTTCCCTTTTCTCCACATCCTCTCCTACATTTGTTATTTTTTGTCTTGGTAATTATAGCCATTCTAACAGGTATACGGTGATATCTCATTGTAGTTTTGATTTGTATTTCCCTAATGATTAGTGATGTTGAACATCTTTTCACGTGCCTGTTAGCCATCTGTATATCTTCTTTGGAAAAATGTCTGTTCATATCCTCTGCCCCTTTTTTGATCGAGTTGTTTTTTTGTTGTTGAGTTGTATGAATTATTTATATATTTTGGAGATTAACCCCTTGTCGGATATATGATTTGCAAATTTTTTTTTTTTTTGCCATGCAGACACTCTTTATACTGTTGGCTTTTGAATATACCGTGAATGTACAATGCCTATATCACCATATGCTCTGATGATTCAAGTTCCCTGTATTTTTCACTCTTTCACTTACAATTACCATGAAACCTTTGCTCATGCAGTATGCCATGAGGACATTTGGCCTGAAGGAGATCTTAGCACAACTGAAAAGCAGCGGTGAAAGCCTCCTGACAGTACTTGTTTAGATGGTGGTTACTCATGATCCAGAGTTTATCATTCATTTCATATTATCTTTTAAATGAAAATATTTTTAAAAATTTTGTACACAATTCTTAGGCTCCTCTTCTCCCTCATATTTGTGACCTCCTGTTTGGGAAACACTGCTTTAGCAAATGTTTTTCATATCACTGTCTGGGAGTCCAGGGTTCAAAGATGAGACAACAAACCAAATTAAAGGAAACTTGGCCCTTCTTAATATAAGGAGAGATGTTAATTGCAAACTATAAATAAATTGATTTGTGCTATCCTAAAGGTATGCAAAGAGGGCTATGGGAACATTGGACGGAGCTGCCCAGTTATCTTAAACGTAGGGGAGAGGTTTAGAGTACATCATGGAAAGAGCTTGTTTGAATAGAGTCTTAAAGGATGAGAGAGTGGGTTTAAACTAGGCAGAGAGATTGTATGTGTGAAGACCAAGGTCATGAAAGACATGATTATCATAATGGTGAGAAGTATGTGGCCCTAGATAGCGTTTGTAATATGAGCAGTAAGTTGAAATTCAAAAGTAAAAGTCTTAATTGTTAGACCAGGTGTTTAGCTCTTATTTCATATACTCTAAGGGAGCCATGGAGATCTTAGAACTGGGAGTATATTCACGGCAGTATTTTTTTTTTTTTTTTTTT